GGTGGGTGAGAGGCCGGGTGAGCCCCTCATTCTGTAGCCAGGCGTCTCAGGCTCATCAGCAGACGAGCAGGGACCTGCCCAGGGTCACCAGTCTCAGCCGGGGTGGAGCTGGGCCTGAACTCTCCACCTTCCGGCCTCTTCAAATCTGTTCCTCTCCCTAAACTTGGGAGCTACGGCCCGAAGCCTGACCCAAGGACAGCCAGCCTCGGTGCTGACCCCACCAGAGCGCATCCACCAGCCCCTCCCTGCTCTGCGTGTCTGTTTCTGATTTCGCAGGTAGCACGTTCATTGTCGAGAACATTGGCAACATGCAAAAATATGGGGAAGAAAATAAAGATCACCTGGAACTCCCCCCGGAGATGTCTTCTGTCACCACTGTAGCTTGTATGTCCTGATCTTTCCAGATGCTCACCTGCATGAGACGAGACATCCGTGCACATCTGCGCACAGCAGCCCAGGGGTGTGTGAACCGTGAGGATGCTTCATGCTTGGGGTTCTACACCGCGCGGTGTTCAGTGACGTTAGCAAGGTGTCACCCCTCACCCCTCGTCAGCACCTGACACCATCAGCACCTGACGCTCTCAGCACCTGACAGGGTCAGCACCTGACGGGCTGGGGCGGCGCCAAGGCTGAGACGAGGGGAGAAGTTAGCACACAGCGCTGATTGCACAGCCCGGGGGCCACCACGGTTATCATCCAGGTCATGCCCATCCTCACCAGGAGGAAGGAGAACCTTCTCACTATGACCCTCCTTTTGTTCACTTGTGTCTCAGGGAGGATCAGACCTCCTGCCCAGACTGCTGGCCTTCAGCGGGTTGGACAGAGGAAAGAGGTGGCACTGCGCCCGTGTGGCACAGAGGACATGCTCTGGAAATACAGGAGTATGAGAAGTGGGCGGGGCTGACATTGGTGCCCCTGCCCACTGGTGGGCAGGTGTGTCTGTGTTCTGGGGTGGCAGAGGGGACCCTGCGTCCATTAGCAATGGGCATAATAATGCTGCGTGACAAACAGCCCCCAAACCTCAGCAGCACAAATACACGTTAGTCAGCTCATGCATCTGCAGGGTT